TGCTACGGTAAGGTATAGTGTATGGAAACTAGGGTGTATAGATACTAAAGTATATGGTGTAGGGCAACTAAAGAGTATGGGATAAATATGGTATGTGGAGTAGGGTAGGGTGTAGGAAAGCTTTGGTGTGAGATGTTATGGTGTATGGAGTAACATAGGGTGTAGGGAAGCTAAGGTAGGGTGTAGGGTGTATGGAGTAGGATTGAGAGTTAGGAGTCATAGGGTGTATGGAAGCTAGAGTGTATGGGATAGGATTGGGAGTTGGGAATCCTAGAGAAGTTGAAATTTTGGGGTTCTAGGGATTGAAAGGTTCCACGGGTATTGTCTCTATCTAAGAATTGTGTCTCTCTCCTTTCTCCTTGAGTCTTGGGTTTGGAATCAAAGTAAAAGAGGAAGCTTAAACTCTTAGAATTATCAAGCTCTTCTCATTATTTTTCAACACTTTCAAGAGTTCTTTTACAAATAATATCACTTTGCTTATATAGAGTAGCCTCAAAATATGGGTGGATACTAAAAAACTTATAGAATTTATGAGAATTACACATTTAATTAATAAAAAATTTAATCTCATTTTTAGAATTAATGACAAAAATACCCCTAAGCACTTTTCATGAAATGACAAAACCATTCCTTTATGAGGGGCCTTTTGCCATGGCTATGCCTCAAGACCTTTTTGGATGTTTACGATGGCAATTCGAGCTATCAAACATCGTAGAATCGATGTTTTGTTTGTTACACACGTTTTGATATCCATTGATCGTCTTGGAATAGAGTTTTAATGAATAACCCAAAATTTGGCCAAATCCATAAACTTGTGATTCTTCAACCAATGATTTGGCATGATTTGTGATGTTCCAAGACTTCATTTTGATCAAAAAGTGAAGATGATATTATCATGATCATTTTGTGATAAATTTCATCTATTTTGGTCTCCGTTTGAACGCGTTCCAAATTTGGGAAGTCATCAAAAAATGAGATTCCGGTGACCAGAAAAATATATCTTATTCAACCACAAAATTCGGTGTCATCTAGCCTCTGATCATACATAAAAATTGTATGAAACTGAAGCTCTTGGAAGCACGCCCGCCACAGATTCATACTTTTGACAATCCGACATTGAGATCTTAAGCTATAGCCTCTCAAAGAATGAGATGTTCCTCTTTTTAAAATCTGAATTTTCATCTTTCGAGCATATTTTCTCTCTAACAATTCTCTTGTTTCAGATTATCCCATGATGTGTTCTATATGTCAAAGTGAGTGCATCGTCGAGATCTAGCTCGTGTCCAAATTGGAGCTTAATTGGACCCAAAATAAGCAAGTTATGAGCATTTGAATCCCAAAATGAAAAACACATTTTCATAAATGGAAACTGGTTCACCGAGGTTACACTGCAATAATGTAAAACCCGCCTTTTATTGATAATAATGGTTATGGAGGATCCGATTGAGCCGAAATTGGTACCTAGGGGTTTTTCGACGTTCCGGATCCAATGGTAGTAGTCTGATACTCTTTTGAGTCCCAAAAAATAGGTTTGTAGTTATATAGTCCATTTTCAACATGAGAAGAACAGGATTTGAAAACCGAGTTTCATCCTGATCGGTTCAATACTTGTTAGAACGCAACAAAACGTTACGGGTGTCCTTAAGGCATCTAAAACTACCCTCTCATGCAATTTGAGGCTATTCTAGGACTTCTTCAAAGGTTGACCAATATCATGTTTATTGCTATAGTGTTCCCATGGTCTGGCAGCGTCTTGGGCACCGGCGAGACCAGGATACTACCAGCTCTCTCCTTTTGCATCCTGGGGATACAAGTACATCAAAAATTACATATAGAAATTTTCACATGAAAAAATTCTCTGATGTGATCAAGTGTGGGAACATTTTTTCTATCAATTAATTGCCAATTGGTGTAAAAAGATGCACTAAGACCAATTGGTCTGAAAATATTTTCACACTCAACCACTTGAGAGAATTTTTTCATGTAAATATACTTTCTATAAAATATTTTTACGCAAACCAAAGTATCTTCTCATTTCTTCATGCTTACCCATAGGAAAATTCCATCATTCTTTCCAATATATTTGTGACAGAATTTGGCATACATAAAATACATCAACATAGACCGGGAGGTTAGATAGAGCAGACTTTATCGATGTAATCCTTCCACCTAATTATAGGTATTTAGCTTTCAATGGGTCCAACTGAGATTGAAATATCTGAATTATTAGATCCTAAATATATCTTAGCATTCTTGAGTTAGAAATGGGCGTGCTCAAATGCTTTTTATTGGAAACTTATCTGTACTTCAGGATATGTGTTAATCTTCTACATCTGCGAAAAAATGGTATCATTAGCATATTGTAAATATACGATACACTGTGTTCTTTACTCAATACTCTGAGATCGCACAAAAACAAATAGAAAAGGGCATTTCTGTCCAAAATAAAAGCAAGTAAACACAAGAAAATAAGAATACAATTCTTCCAATTAAGCAAGTAAATATTTACAAATTTGGTAGGTTGGGAATCTCTTGGGACGATTTAGGTCCGTCTTAGACAACATTAGTTTTTCTTGTTTTTTATACTAAGAGAAACCTTTTTGCTCTATTTTGCTAGCTTTGGGTTGATCTAGATCAGCCTTGCTCAGGGGTTTGATGGGGATGGAGTTTCTCTTGTTATAACTTGGGGAACGTAAAGGTAAAGCTTCGATTTCTCTCTCCATCTTATTTTCTGTCTTTCGGGAGTTTTTGATTTGGGCTCTAGGCTAGGATTTGTTTCCTCTCTCAGTTACTTTCTCTTGAATTTTTCTACACCCGCCTTTCTCTCTCTCGGTTTTTTCTTATTTTTATGACTTGTGTCCATCCCTTGACTCTGGCTTAATATAGTATAGATATAGATAGCTTTTTAAATTGATGAAATATTATGCAAGGATTTCCTTCTTTATATTTGCTTTGTATTCACACAATTATACCAAATTTTGGTTATCTTAAAACCTAGTTACTAAAACGCGACTGTTTGGATGACTTTGAATGGTAACGAGGTTATGCAAATCTCGTGTTTGGATCATCTTTCTGTATAACTTCGTTTGCTATTAAGGGGCATTTGGTGTGTATGACAGTTCAACATGAAAATATTTATAGGAAAAATTTGTATATATGGAAACAGTTTACAGGGAAAAATTATTCAATCCCCATGTTTGGTAAACACAATTGGAAACAAGCAGTGAGAAGGAGAACATCTCAAACTTGAAATTTTGAGATAGTTTCTCTATCTAAAGATTTGGCAATAGTTCTTTTCTAAATTTTAAAATTTAATGCAGTTTCTCTCTTTAAAAATTTTGAGACAGTTGCTCTATCTAAAACTTCAAATTTCCGATAGCTTCTCTCCCTAAAAACTTTTAGATAGTTTTTCTCTCTAAAAAATTTTAGACGGTTTATCTTTATTATAGTTTCCTCTATAAAAGTTTTCAAGTAGTTTCTCTCTGTAAAATTTGATATAGTTTCTCTGTCAAAAATTTTAAGATACTTTCTCTCTCTAAAACTCTAATTTTGAGATATTTTATCTCTCTAAAAATTTTCACATAGTTTCTCTCTCTAAAATTTGATATAGTTTCTCTTTATAAAATTTTAAGATACTCTCTCTCTCCAAAGTTTAAAACTTGAGACAATTTCTCTCTAAAACGTTTGTGAGAATTTCTCTCTATAAAATTTTGAAATACATTTTCTCTCTAAAACTTAAAATTTGATATAGTTTCTCTCTCTAAAAAGTTTGAAATATTTTTTCTTTAAAAACATTAGATAGTTTTTCTCTCCAAAATTTGATATTGTTTCTCTCTAAAATTTAAATTACTTTATCTAAAACTTGAAATTTGAGATAATTTCTCTCTCTAAAATTTGATATAGTTTCTATTTAAATTTGAGTAATGATCCTATAGGACCTTCCTCCACCTATGTGTGTAGGACCCAAAGGATCACCATTAAAATTTGCACGGATCTCTATAAAAGTTATCACATGGTGTGAAACTCGACTTTTTTATAGATCCATACCAAATTTAATAGTGATCCTTTAACGTCCTACACACATAAGTGGGAGAGGGTCCTATAAGATCATTTCTCTTCTTATACTATTTTAAATTATTTTAATATTAATAATATAATTACATTTTGTATTATATTGTATTTCTCTCTCATGATTAGAAAAAATCACGTTTTGGACATTTTTTCTTTGATTGTGTGTACCAATGTTTTGACCCTCTTTATTGCTTAAAAAAAAAAAAACAGGGATTATCGGTCCAAATAAGTTGCCAAACATGTTTTTCTACAAAATACCTTGTATACAAAACATGATTTTGGATATCCCATAATCTAGACGGTCCATTAGTACTTATGATCATACCAAACCTTTCTTAAGATGTTTCAACTAGTACTAGTTTGGGGCTATTCAAATACTTTCTACTGGTACAAGTGTTGGGGAGAGTGCCCATGCAAATCATTTAACGAAACTGCAAGCTTATTTGATAGTGTATCGGGCTTTGCCAAGAGGTGAGACTGGTGTTACACATTTAAAATGTTTTTTTTTGAGAAGCTGGCTTGGGCTTTTATGGTTAGCTGTTGATATTAACAATGCTATATTTCAAATTCAATTTCCATTATTGAACTAACCAAAAACAAAAATGTGCTCTCGACGCTCATCCCCTAAAATGTCTAAATCCTTTCGTCAATACTTACCAATGGTAAAATGGGATTTACAGTTTCAATGACATCAAAATGCGCTCTCTGGTTTTGAAAGTCATCTTTTCAAAACCCACTTTCGCTTTTCTTCATGAGGCCTAATGCAACAAGTGTTTTCATAAATAATAAAACCAACACTACCATAAAGCCCAAGGCCGCAGCAAAGTTATCACTGGCAATTTGCTCCCTAATTATTCTCTACAATGATCTCCATATATACTTAGGAGGACAGAGTATCTAAAGCTTTTTTGAGTGATATATTTTGGATGACAAATAAACAATCAAATATATAAAAAAGCAGGGTTAGTTGCGGATCAACAAGAAGGTAATCAAGTGAACAGGAACCTTGGTACTGACCCACAAAACAACCAATCAAGAGGACCATATGATTTTATGGCTAGATTTAAAATATAAAAAATAAAAAGGGGGAAAGACTTGGGCGAAAATATATGAGGAACATCAGTGTTTAACTACAGGGTGCTGTAAAATTTGGGGGGTTTCAAAATAACATGTGTATCATTAATGTGGCTGGCCACCAATCTGTACTCTTCACTTGGCAACTCCAGATGACATCAATCGTTTGATTTTTCTTTGGCCAAATCTAATCAAGGTTGACCTCAAATTATATCCATCTTTGCTTCTAACTCCTTAACTGCCAAGGTTAATGATCTCACGTCCATTTTTGCCGATCGCTGAGTAAGAGATGGTGACTGTCACAGAAGAAATCGAGCATGACATATTAGACATTCAGAGCCCTCACAAACTCTATGTCATAACGATAATAAATAAATAAACAAGTAAACCATGCCAAGATCTAGAGTCATAACAAAGAGCTTCATAACAGCATGGCTAGAGTAAATAAAGACACACCAAACATCCTTAGATACACAAATCTGATGTTTTTTCTCTGCTAACACATGTAAACATGCATTTGTCTCATGTAATTGTGCGTGCATGTATGTGTGTGTGTGTGTGTGTGAGAGAGAGAGAGACTTGTTTTTTTTCTTTGTTAAAAAAGATTTTATACTCAGAACACTTAGGAATAGTGCAAGGACCTTATAATGGTGTCTATTAGCATTTTAAAACCAGGAACAGGAGGCCAGATCAATCACCTGCTGGACCGATCCGGATTGCCGATCTTGAGAATCGGTACAAAAAAATTTAATAATAATTTTAAATTTTAAAAATTCAAAAATAAAAATTTTTAAAAATGAAATGGGTAGGCCCAATCCAATTCACTGCCTCTCTGATAGGCTCGCTCAGTTCTCTAACAGAACCAAGTGAGTCTATCGCCCAGTCCCCCTCGGGTCCTTGCTCCCATATCCCTATTTATCTCAATCATCAACTATAACCAAACCCACGTCCCTTCCAAAGTCTAATACGACCCCAGCAGAATCCCAAGCAATCTCAAAGAAACACCATCTATTCTTCAACACCTCATCATGCAAATATCCCAACATTATCCCGCCCCTCTCTCAGCCAATCAAGCACCTTCCTCTACCAACATCCTATTCTCCAATGGCAGACACCATTATTGCAGAGAAGCATCATTTCAGAAAGGATTCTTCTCATTAGAGCCAGTGGCCGGCACTTTCACCCCTCGCCATGACCTCAAAGGCATTGCATTGGGCCACAAGAAGATTAAGCACTTCTCCAGTTTCTCGTAATATGCTCGAAGAAGAAGGTCCTCAACTCTCTAGATTCACAGGACAAAGCTGAAACAGTGCTGAGAACTAGAGACTCAAACTTAAAAGGCATTTCCTAACAGATTGGATCCTGGAACCCTTCTTTTGGCGCTATCAACCAGCCCAAAATATGGACCTCACCAGAGGTGAACCTCTACATGCATGGAATAACGAGGTATTCCTTTGACCTCAACTCTCTCAGTTCAGTGTATACTCTCACTGCAGTTGCCCTCCATGTTCCTATGTGTTGTAATGAGTATTCCCTGTCCACATTAGGAACCTTTCTACACAGAACTCCAACCTTAATTTTTAATCCAACCTCCCCTCAGGGTAAACCCCAATCACCCCAAGCACCATAGTTGCTGTAGGTTCTTCATTGCAAAGCCCAGAACCACCATTAATCCATCTTTGAACAGAACACTAGTTTCGAGGAAAAAACCCTAGCAAAGGAAGAGAAAAGATAATTGGAGTTCCCACCTGAAATGAAAGAGCCAATAACAGTAACCGGGATTGCCATGGACCCTAGTAACTGAGGCAAATGGATGCTACACACATGCCAGTCATTAGCCACACTTGCAACAAGTAAAAATTAGGGGGACCGGCTGACCAAATTACCAAAAATATGCCAAGCAAGGACAAAGGGCTCACAAATGGACAAGGACCAGCCATGTTGCCCACTTCCTTACCTTCCTACACATCACCCAGAACAAATAAAGAAATGCCAAGGAAGGAAGGACTGCCAGCTGTTCAAACCCTATGTACTCCTACTACTCAATCCTCACGATCCATTTGACAATCTTGAAAACTGGTCCGCCCCCACCTTTCCACCAATTACCAACGAAGAGCACCATCGAGCTTAGGAGATTTGTCAATCAAACATATATTGACTGCCCATAGCCCAATAACACAAATATATCCTCCCCCAATCCCCACCCCAGGCCTGACCGCCCACATCCTTGCACTGCAGGTTCAAATCCCAGCATGCAAACCGCACCCCCACCACCCCCCAACGCTCTCCCCTGCCTGCCCTCCTACCCGTCCGCATCCTTGCACCCCAGGTTCAAATCCCAGCATGCAAGCTGCACCCCCACCACCCACCCCCCTGCCCGCCCCACCAACACCCCACCGAATTTGCAGCTTGGAAAGGACATTTCCATGGAATCCACACTAGGCCCCTCTCAAAACTTGTCTCTAAGAATGCATTCACCCCCCAATACCCAACCTGAGCAATTTGGCCCTCGACCATTTATGTTTGGGAGGATGTGGTCGGAGGACAGAAGCCCCATAACATAATGCCCCAATTGCAGTCCTCCTCCAATGAGGTCCAAGGCTGGGCAGGGTCCAAACTATGCAAAAACCTTCAGCTCCTAAAGTAGAACTGAAACCATAGTTCCTACCATTCAAGAAAGACACCACTCTATTGGAAACCGAAGGACTTAACTTGCTCAATGAATGGAGAGACCTGTCCAAATATCAAACACCATTAAGAAAGACGACCATTTTTGGCATCAGATATCAAGAATAAAATGGCTGAGAGAGACAGGAACAGAAACACAGCCTTTATGAAAAATAGTGTATATTGCAGAAAGACCAATGCTATCCTCCAAATCAAAACCAGAAACTCTTCACTTCCACGTAGTTAGAACCAAGATAGCCGACTTCCAGTTCCAATCCCACGTAGTTAGAACCAAGATAGCCGACTTCCAGTTCCAATCTATGTCCAAGGATGGTGCCTCATGGTTAGAAAGTCCTTTCAGCGAGCACGAGGTGCTCAAAACCATTGGTAACCTAGGCCATGACAAAGCTCCCAGTCAAGATGGCTTCCCTGTCTTTTTGTTGCATTTACTTGGGATGACCTATCAGATGTCATGGAATGGTTGCTTAGTCCTATGAGAGGGGAGTCATCAATAAGGGCATGAGTGCTACGTTCATTGCTCTGATTTCCCCTCATCAATAAGGGCATGAGCGCTACGTTCATTGCTCTGATTCCAAAATTGGAAGGGGCAAAGAACTAAAAGACTTCAGACCTATCAGTCTGATCAAGTAGTATTCTCCCACCAGGTCCTGGCTTCCAGGCTACACCATGTCAAGTGATCTCTCCCACCAGGTCCCAGCTTCCATACTACACCAGGTCTTGAGTCAAGTAATCTCTCCCACCCAAGGTGCCTTTATAGAAGGGAGCAAATCCTGGACCGTGCACTCATTGAAAACAAGTGCATCGACAGGAGGTTCTAGTCCAAATTTCCTGCCTCATCTGCAACATGGATATTAAAATGCCCATGATCATGTGTATAAGGGAGTCCACGACTATACCTTATCCCTTATGGGCTTCGGCACCAAATAGAGATCAAAAATTTCAGCATGCATGTGCTCTGTACACTTATCATTTCTCATCAACTCCCTACAAGACGACCCACATTCTCACTTTATGTAATCCATAATAGCAGATGTCGGTAGGTCTATAGATAAAACCATGGCCTTCTAAAGGGCTTCTTAACCTCACACATGGACTAAGCATCTCCTTTCTCCCCTATGCAGATGACAACCTTGTCTTCTACAACTCGACCCCTCCCAGCCCACTCCCCTCCACCCCAGAAATTAGATACTCCTTGGCTGTTCATGTGTTGTTTTGAATTGGCCACAGATAGTAAACATGGCCAAACCAAACTAATAGCACTTGCCATGGACCTTGATGGGTTGTGGTGAAGACTCCCTCCCAAACAAATACCTTAGCTCACCACATTGTATTGGAGAAGCAAAAAATGGCCGATGGGATGCATCATAGAAAAATTCAAGATAAGACTGGTTTCGTGGAAGTGCTGCTTTTTCTCTGTGGATGGCCAAATCACCTTGATAAAGGCCACCATATCGAACATCCCAGTTTTCCAAATGTTCCCTTTCCTAATGCTGACCTGCATAATTGAAAAGCTCAAGAGCCCCACAAGAGAGGCCCCTTGGAATGCGGCAAGTGGCTCTCATAAATTTCACCAAGTAAAATGGGAAATTGTTTGTATGCCAAAGAAAAGAGGTCCGGCTATTTGGAAGCACAGGGACACCAATACTGTCCTACTTGGGAGGTCGTGGTGGCGATTCGCCACAAACCCAGACTACCTTCGGCGGTCTGTGATCAAGCATTGAAACAGCACAGATGGCTCAAAGTGGCTCCCTAAGGGCCAATCAACCTCGAGAGCCTCGGGGGCCCGGAGGGAATCTGCCAAGTCAACACGCAATTCTCTAGTCTAGTGCACATTAAACGCAAATCTGGAAAACATGCTAGATTTTGGAGGGATTTTTACTGGGCCAGCCACCAGTAGAACTGTACTTGACAATCCTCCTCATCATGGCTGTGAACAGGGAGGCCACCATAAAGGAGTATGTCAAATTCTTAGGTGAGAATCTCGTCTGGATCCCTGCCAACCGCCAGTATCTCAACAACAGTGAGATCTCAGACCTCCAATCCCTTTGTGAACTCCTCGAGGTTTATTTCATCCCCTTGTCTGGCCCTGACAAAATTATCTAGACTCCCAACCCAAAAGGCACTTTCACAATGTCCTCTTCTACAAGGCCTTAACCTCACCTGACCTCGATCAGGCCATCATGTGCAGGACTTGGTTTTTCCTTGCCCCCTAAACATCCAAGCCTTCAAACTGATGGCCATTTTAAAAAATAAAAAAAAAGAAGCTAAACACCTGTAGAGGAGAGGGATCCAGCGATATGTTTCATGCATTGCTTAGTGAAGAAATGCATTACCCATCTTTTTATCCATCACAACACGGCTCACATTGTTTTGGCCCTTCTTCCTCCAACTGTTCGCATCTTCTTGGACCACCACACACTCTGTGGAAGGCCTATTCAAACACAATTAACCCTTCCGAAATCAGGACTTTGGTGTTTCACTATTCATGCCATCGTTTGGTCCATATGGGTCAAGTGCAATCAAGGAATCTTACAATCCATATCCCCCTACCACTGACCACATGAAATCAACCTTACTATTCTGAGGCCTCTTTATTGGAAGAACTCAG